TCGAGTATTGTGTTTCCGCTATCTGACAATAGATGGCGTTGTACTTCTCGAGCGTTCGAGATGCTACTAAATCCTTCGATATTCGTTTGACTATTCGGCGATAGATGGCGTTACTCTTACCGGCGTAACAATATATAAACTAAGAGATAACAAGATGTGTGCAGCTTTGCAAGCCTAGTCCAATAGACTCTATTCCCGAACAGAAATAATAAATAGCTTTTCTTTCGTAAGCAGCGACGGCTAGTTACCGAATAAATTAAACAGTGAACTTGTGGACTAGTAGGTAAGTTATGTTTCGTCACAACACTTATTATCCTATTAGCACGACACCTCATTTCCCTCGAACCCTTTTGTACTGTTATATTAAATTATCGTGAGGGCTACTCCGGCTATTAAGTCTCCCTGCAGATAAGACATGTTCGCATCAATTTACTGGTTATTTAAATTTTCGTGCTCACACATTATTTTTAATTAGACGAACCAACGTTTGGGGCTCCGAGCAAACCGACGGAGCACTTGTGGAGAGTATTAAGCGGTAGGCAGCGGCTTGGCTCTGCCCCTGGCATTGCTGAAGTCCATGGGCGACGGTAACCACTCACCATCAGGTGGGCCGTGTGCTCGTCTGCTTACAAGGGCAATAAAAAAAAAAAAAAAAACACTTAGCGCTGCACTACACCAGGCAACTGACCGGAACCGATGGAGGCAGGCAGTAGAGAAGCTGAAGCGGAGTCACGATCCTCAGTAACGAGGGAGCGATGGAGAAGAAGAAGAAAGTTTCTTTTTACTTTTTAATCAATCTTCCATTAATTTTAATTTATCTTCCATCTTTCGAGCCAAACTTGAGGAATGCTTAGGCGGTAGAAACAGTTAGAATGGCGGTTGGTCAAGTTGGTTATTAATTAAATTAATTAGACATAAATAATTATCGCAAAGACGTAAAAATCCTTTTTAATTGTTACTTCGACTCGCGTAAATCGAAAAATACTATTGTAAGGTTTGTCGTAAAATAATGTAACTTGTTAATGCTAAGACAATTTTCGGATTGTCAAATAGCAACACTGTTGGTAGGGAGCAATTACAGTAGTGGGGACGTGACATAATAAAAAAAGGCGGTAGTCTGAAAAAACGGGGCAGAAATCAGTGTCTTTTTTTTTTTTTTTTGCTTAGATGGTTGCACGAGCTCACAGCCCACCTTGTGTTAAGTGGTTACTGGAGCCCATAGACATCTACAACGTAGACGCGCCACCCACCTTGAGATACAAGTTCTAAAGTCTCAGTATAGTTACAACGGCTGCCCCACCCTTCAAACCGAAACGCATTACTGCTTCACGGCAGAAATAGGCAGGGCGGTGGTACCTACCCGCGCGGACTCACAAGTGGTCCTATCACCACTGTACTCGGTAGTGAGCGGATTGTAAAAGTGGAGTTACAAATAAAGCAATACAGAATTGAGTAAACTACTGCACTCTGTGTATTATTTCCTGACTGTGGGAGTGGAGTTCTACACTATATTACTACTACTTTATTATTATAAATACTGTATTAGCCTAGTAACATAGCCTGGTAGTTTATAGACCAGAGTGTGACACAAGCAAATATTTATCCTGGGAAAATGCAACGTGATACATTATTTTTAAGTAACAAATTCAGATCTGGTGAAATCACGGGGCATGTCTAATTCAGGGAAGGGTTTTAAAGGGAATTTTGGCTAATAGTAAAATAAGATAATTGGACCAATTTTCCGGTCACCATCTCCGCCGAACCCGTCGCTTGCGACGAAGGGCTCGACGAGTAACCCATAGACACAGCCCACTGAGTTTCTCGCCGGATCTTCTCAGTGAGTCACGTTTCCGATCCGGAGGTAGATTCTGCGCACCACTGCTCTTGATAAGGCCAGTGTTAGCAACACTCCCGGCTTGAGCCCCGTGAGCTCACCTACTAGCTCGGTGAATCTATAATAACCCCTTGAGGTTACTAGAATAGGTAGGGAAAAAAAGGATGAGTTTTCTTAGTTATTTTTTTCGCGGAAACTATTCTGTAACATAACGAAATAAAACAAAAAAATATTTGGCACTTAATTTCAAATAATTTATTTATAATTCACGTCTTGTAATTTTAAAACGAACGACTATTATCAACCATCACAACAAGAAAATAAAATTTATATACATTAAAACTTACCCTAAATTAAATAATACGTATAAGTCACTTTAAAATAAATTAATTCCACAAATCAATTACCTCTTTCTGTATAATATAATTAGAGGTCAAGCAAAATTATCACATCGCACCTCGATAACTTTTCAATTGAATTAACCCACAGGTATACCTTTTTAATTTAAATTCGCATCAAACTATTAATCTAGTCTTATTTAGTATAAAATTAAATAATTCACTATACAACAACGATTATGATGGACAATAATGAATTTATATCAACCTATTACTAAAACAACAGTCTGCTTGAAATATAACAAATGAAAATCAATGTTATTGAGAGCCATAGATGACATTGCTTGTGGACAATTATGGAAAACTCAAGGTGAATGCTGCTTGGAGAAATGAGGTCGAATTATAAGGACGCATCCGTCTATAAGTTGTAGACGCATCCACCTATATCACCCTTCGATTCACAAGCTTGAATGTCAATAATGTGACGCGGACATCCCCAAAATCTTCAAGTTGTACTATCATTAAATCGAGGGGTGAAAAGCTGTTTGTTTTAAGCTACATTTTGATTAATACGCGACATTTATATTTGTAACTAGCTGACCCGGCAGACTTCGTAGTGCCTCAATCGATAAATAAAAGACCTAAACTTTTGTATAAAATAAACTTAAAACAAACAAAAGGAATCCGTCCGACGGGGGACACATCAAAGGAAAAACAAAATTGTTATTTTTATTTAATTACGAGCATTTTCATATTTGTCTACTTTAAACTTTTAAACCTTCTCTGGACTTCCACGAATAATTCAAGATCAAAATTAACCAAATCGGTCCAGCCGTTCTCGAGTTTTAGCGAGACTAACGAACAGCAATTCATTTTTATATATATAGATATAGATTAAAGGTCCGTTTAATGATATTAGTATCAACAATTTGATCTTTATAAATTAACTTCAATTAAATTTACCCCATTCAGACAGCTGAAGAAGTTTTTTTGTAATGATATTTTTTCCAAATTTTAAACTGTTAATTTGTAAAAATGTCGCATAAACCAAAGCCTTTCAATCCTCGAAATAATCATTATGCGTCTTCATAAATTGATCATCTGTTATTGTTCTATTTGTAATTTGGTTTTGGTAAACAATATTTAAAAGGATTTTCTCCGCATGCAATTTAATGAAATCCAATATATATATATATTTATTACCCTTGTAGGCAGACGAGCATACGGCCCACCTGATGGTGAGTGGTTACCGTCGCCCATGGACTTCAGCAATGCCAGGGGCAGAGCCAAGCCGCTGCCTACCGACGTTTGATAATGTCAGATAAATTCTTTTGTGTTCGTTTATTCGTGGCTTTATCACGTAAAATAATTATTTATTCTTAGCTATAAAGGTATTGAGCAGTAAAAAAAAGTTGTCAACCGTATTTGTTTGTAGCAGTAAACCTGTTGCTGGCTACATGCGTTTGAGTAAAAAAAACATTATTACGTGCCCTTTATTGTACATTTTTGATTATTTAAAACTAGTAATTTTGCCTTAAAAACATATAGCGTATAAATTCATCTCTAAATATTAATATTTTAAATTACATATAATTGGTACTTTTTTTTTTGACACGTCACAATTCGTAAATCTATACATAGCACATGGTATTTTGTATGTAATACAAATATCAATTTTCCAGTGCTCCTTAATCTTTGTTTTAGGTCACTTTAGTGCAAGTTTTTTACGTTTGTCGCTAGGGACGCTGTTCCAACTCCATACAAATTTGAGTTAACTTTGACGCGATCGAAAAGTTAAAAAACTCGCACTAAGCACACTGGACGTTTTTTTAAATGCACTGATTTAATAATGTTTTCTTAATTTCGTGCGGGGCCATAAAGCTCGCGAGTGGCGACCGCGTAGCTTTGGTAAGCTTCGAACGAGATGAACCGACGATCTTTTGAAAGTCGCAGGAGTCCGGACGAATATTGGGGAGCCAATCCGTCAGACATCTATGGGCTTATAGTTTTTGGAGTACATATATAGTCTTTTTGCATTAAAAGTGTACAAATTCCAAAAATATTCGAAATTGAGTTAATATGCGGAATCATTTGGTATCACCAGTATTTTTCTCATAAATACAGGCAAAAGAGCGTAGTTTAGTTTTTTTTTTTTAATTTACCTATATTTTGACTACTATTAACAAAATTAATACATCATTTTAACATACTTTAAAAGACAGATAATGTAACTGGTAAAGACTAAAAAGTAAATGTTGCAAAGATGATTAATATTAAAAATATCATATTATGTTAAACCTTTAAAACACTCTCCTGTAAAATTTCGTAAGTTTTAAGATTATACAGTTTTAATGCGAGAAGACGATGTTTTGCAAAGAGATTTCCCATACTTGATGGTGAATCTGCTGTCTGAATCTGCGTCAATATCATCACGATTCAAACGCGCTTGGGAAGACCTATTTTGATTTTGACACAATATTTTCGTCTTCCGTATCACGTAGCATAACTACCATAGAACTTTACATTCCTATACGTGTTTTTACACGTGTAATAATTAGTTTAAACCAGGGCTTCCCAAACTTATTTTGTTTACTACCCACTTTGAGAATAAATTATTTTTAGCGCCCCCATTTTTTCACCTATTAAAAAACCATAACAGCGAGAGTAGAGTCGGTGTCTAAGAGTCCTCCTAGATGAAATTACAAATCGCCTTCCAAGCCACTAACTACACAACACCCCTATTTTTTTCTGGGTCTCCTACCGGGGGCTTTAGGCCTGCAGCGCCCACAGGGGGGCGTTATCGCCCACTTTGAGAAAGGCTGGTTTAAACCAATAAACAATAATTGTACAGATTAAACATATCCGATATTAGTGGGATTTTAAACGAAACTCTCTGGGAATTCGTAATCCACACTCTTCGACTTCTGAAAAGCCACAACGGAATCAACTTTGGTCTTTTTACTGTAATTCATTACATTTCTTTCCGAATCAACGCTCTTTGCTTTCGCAGTGTTGATCAGTACGTTACGGCGCAACGAATTAGCTCGAGGTAGGTCTGCATCGATTTCTGATCGAATCACTTTAGGATTCAAATTGGAATGAATATTATCTGGCCTGTTTATATCCATGCATCCTTCGCTTCGCATTCTGTTGATTCGATTAGGGTTCAAATTTGAACAGACCGGCGCTGATTGCTGCCTTAAAAACGCTCTGTTTGGGAATATCCTGTCAAATAAGCTTCTCTCCTCGTCTTTGCTGTTGGTTTCCGCTTCGCTTCTATCGACGCTCGTTCTGTGGCCGAAGAATTTCTTCAGGCTGTTTGTAGTTCTGGTCAGACTACTGCTAGTCGTTGAACCATTCGTTATGGTCCTCTGCGTTCTTCTGTTCAGATCGTTTTCTTTTTTATAACAAATGCACACCTTACAGAAGCCGATTCTGAATTTGGACGACATCAAGTTGTATAGTATAGGATTTATAGCCGAATTTATATAGAGCATGACTCTCGAGAAGTACAAGATGTTGTACCATTTCTCGGAGCTTATACCGTCGAAGCCTGACGGTGTTATTATGATCCACAGCGTTAGAGCCCTGTAGGGCATCAAACAGAGAAAGAAACACAGCACAACAGTACCCAGCATCAGGATGACCTGTTTCCTAGCTCTCGCGTTATAAGGATCGACAGTTTTGTTCATGACAACCTTAGAAGCGGCCGTTATTAAATTCTTGGCTATGATGCTGTATAATACGATTAAGATGATCAGCGGTAGGAGGTAGAGGAGGATGATGATTGTGACGAAGAAAGTTATCTCCCAGACGGTGCCGGCTTGGGTCAGACATTGATTCACGACGGTCCCATTGACGCTGGTGGCCTTGTGATCGGCGATCGCGAGTATCGGGCTGCAAAGAAGAAAACAAAAGATAAAAACACTTTCAATGTACACTCTAGTTGATATAGCGGCTTCTACTAACAAAAATGTAGTACAACATAATATACAAAAGCGATCTTGCACCGTACTTTTTCTGTATTTTATAGACAACAATAGAACTGTTCCTATATATCCTATAGCCGATGCTCATTAGAGTTCAATATTCGGTTCTGTTGAGTACTATTTATGTTATTAATTGTAAAACGCATTTATATAATATAAAAAGCAATTTAAGATATACCTTGCTTTGAGTTCATATACAGGGTGTCCAAAAAAGAATGGATAATCCTGAAACACCTCATAGTAGAGCTATTGAGGACACAAAACAAAAAATAAAAATAAAATATTTCTTAAGTAGTACCCAAATTACGTATTCAAAAAACATTATTTTCCATACTACTGCGCGTTTCTGTAATATACAAAAGCTATAAATGAAATCCATAGGGTTTTTGATGTTATAACATTCTACATAGACTATACCAATGGATATGCACTAAACAATATCAGTTGCTGTTGTAATTTTTTATAAAAATTAATTCGAACTAAAATTTTAATCATGAAATCATGTAGTATTTTTATCTGGGTAATTAATTTGGGTACTACCTGAGTATTTTTTTAATGTTTTTTTTTGTTTTTATTGCTTATATGGGTGGACGAGCTCACAGCCCACCTGGTGTTAAGTGGTTACTGGAGCCCATGGACATCTACAACGTAAATGCGCCACCAACCTTCAGTTATAAGTTCTAAGATCTCAGTATAGTTACAACGGCTGCCCCACCCTTCAAACCGAAACGCATTACTGCTTCACGGCAGAAATAGGCAGGACTCACAAGAGGTCCTACCACCAGCTATCCCCTATCCACCATGTATCCCCTATAGGTTCTACTATGAGATGTTTCAGAATTATCCATTCTTTATGAGACACCCTGTATGTATATTGCAATATTAATAATTTGAATCTGTTTTATGTTGATGATATATTTATATTCGGTGAAGTAATTTCAAAGCGAGCATGCTCAACCTAGTTTTTGGCCGAATTAGTATAAGCAATGTTAAATAATCAAGATAATTTATATGGCATTCTTCGTTTTCGGTCATATAATTTGCTTTATTGGTTGATGCTTAAAACGGTTTCACGAGATTATCTCTTAAATGAAGAAACGCAAGAATATATAAATGAACTAGCTTTTGCGCGCGTCTTCGTCCGCGTGGAAGAGTTCACAAATAATGCTTTATTTTAGAACAAATTTGGTTAGCATAAAAAACGTTATAGTGAGCCAACCTTAACATATAGACATATGCTGTTAGGGACTTTTTTTTAAATCTTTTTAAGGGGAACAATTCTATCATACATTATTTTAGCGAAACTTTAACCGTTTCTGCAGCGCATGCAAAGGATCGGAATTACGGAATTACGGAATAAATCGGATTAGTAGTTCCTGAGATTAGCGCGTTCAAACAAACAAACTCTTCAGCTTTCTAATATTAGAATAGATTATTCTTAATTCTTCTCTTAGTGCTTAATTCTTCTAAATGCATTGCAAAGGGTAAAACGGGGTTGCAGGTCACATCTCGACAAGCCCCTAACACTTCCAAGATTATATCGAGGGGTGAAAGCCTATTTTTATTTAAGCGACATTTTGGCAACTTACAGGAGAGCCATTTCAAGTTCAAAATTAAAAGAAGATTCTTCAGCTAAAACGAATTGAGTAAATTTAATTGAAGTTCAATTAAAAACATCGAACTGTTGATGCTGATACCAAATAGAACGCACCTTCAATAACAATGATAAATTTCATGTCTTTGAGCCCTCGATATCAATATGATGAATAAGTAATACTGTTGATTTATTATATGTTTTTTTTTTTTTTTTTTGTCCTTGTAGGCAGACGAGCATACGGCCCACCTGATGGTGAGTGGTTACCGTCGCCCATGGACTTCAGCAATGCCAGGGGCAGAGCCAAGCCGCTGCCTACCGTTAAAATGTATGTAAGTATGTAAGTATAGCAGTATGTAAGTATGTATATTGGTATATATAAATCAATTAGTTATATATTTCATATTATATCTAAACGGTACACCGTTATTGTCAATGTATTGTCAATGGTATTGTTAATGGTACACCGCAACATACCTAATATATTTTTATCTTTTCCAGGATTTCTGTAAATTAAACGGTTGTCTATAAGAGATCGCTTTTAGCGATAACACCGCCTATTGTACAAATCTATCTGCTTTTTGACCGCTTTTGAATGTAAATTGTGTTTTGGTGTGCATAAAGTCTATTCTCTTTCTCTCTTTCTAATTGGTTATTCGTTTGAAATCTCACATATTACGACACTATGAATGTGAACATGAATGAAAAAAAGGACCTGTTAAAATTACTCTCTCCTTCTGACTAAATTCACATTAAATCCTTAAATGATATAATTAAGTCAAAATATTGGAGTATTAAAATGAGCATTACAATTTTTGGCCAGAGACAAGAATGGATGGAGAAAAATCGTGCGTGTGAAGGTGATACAAAAGGGTGGTCACGACCCTCAGCAATGAGGAATACGACACAAGGAGGAGGACAATTTTTGGGCATAGCCGACTTAACCTAATAGGTGTATGGATCAAATATAGAAAAAAAAAAAAAAAAAAAAAAAAAAAATATGGTCACGAAATCAAATTGGGCCAGCGTTCGATTTGCCTTAGAATCCGGCACATGAGTCATCTAAAACTATTCGAAATGTGTGACATTGGCTTTTTTGGGCAATCTCCGCCCACATGCGGTTTTAGTTAATGGAACACGATATCGAAAAACCTATGTGTTTGCGGTTGAACGAGAAAGTCCTGATTTCGTAACAAATAATACATTGCGAAAATATATTGTTGATTCAATTAGATGGAGTAGAAACGTTTTTCTGTCGACTATTTTGTCGAATGAGATACCTAAATCTAGATCTCACTGGAATGATGTCTAGTAAAGATAACTAAATACATTATAACTAGTGATATAAGTGACTAGATAGGCAAGTAGATAATTGCTTTCTACTTCGCGAATGGGTATTGGGTTTGTAATTAACCGGTAATTTGTTTTTGTACCTCAAACCACAGATGGCGTTAGCAACACAAAGTAAAATTTTAAAATGTTTTCTGAGACATTTATCGTATGTTTGATCTTCGTATGTTTGAGAACTTTAAACAAATAATATTCAACTGAGATATTAAACGAAAAAATATCTTCACAACTCTTTTTTGAATCGACATAAACCTGCCAACAATGAGTAGACGTTAAGAGTGTGTCGAAAGAATTGCTTTAATAAAAATGTACAAATAGCTTACTGAATAAATTCGCCCTGGACAAAATTCTATTTTGTTTTGTGGAAATGTTTACTATATTTATTTGAGTTTTAACAAGCCCGTTATTTATTGTTATTACTGTTTATATCCTTTATTTTGGTCGTTCGCATACAAAACGTGAACCTCAGCTGGTTTTTCTTTGATTCGAAATATCTCCGAAGTCATAACTTTTACTATTCTTTCGATGCTAACCTGAGTAATTCATGAGATCGCATTAATATCTGTTTTTCAATTTCTTCTGTTTGTTGAAATAACGTCTTTATGTGTTCTCACGAAGCTCTTATTATCGAAAATTTACAACAAACTAATTATGATTAGTATGATCTTAGGTATAATCGTCGAAAGATTTTACACCAGCATCACAGTTCTTGTATTGATCAGACACCTAACACAGACTTGAAAACAGAATTTACGTTAAAATGAAATTTAATTTTTCTAATCTAATTAGATTAAGAATGGTACATATCTAAGAAACAACATTTAATACAAGATTTTGACATCACCATTTTTATGATAAACGCTACATTTAATCCGTTTGGTCTAAATAGCTTAAAGCAATTGTAGGTATGTAAGTCAAAAGCATTTTTAACTAACTTTTATTAGCTTGATCTGCTTTAAAGTTTTTATTACTATAATTATTATTATGTAGGGATATTTTTCTGTGTTCTTCGTATGTAACGGAATCTTTCAATGTTATCTTCACAAACTTGAAGACGTCCCATTAACTTGAATATATGCATTTACCAAGGACTTAAGATAATGTAATAATTTTATTAAGCTATTGCATAGCTTTTATCGTGGGCTTTGAGCGCGGCGACCGAATCAGGAAATTTCGTAACGAAAATAAAACCTAACACCCCCACCCCGCCTACCATATAGCTCACATTCAACACATTCACACGTTCTGCTTGTGTATTGTTTGTGAATAAGAGCGCGGCGTGACGTCGCACTGTATGCGCATCATGAAAAGTCTGCCCATCTCTTTCTCGTGCGCTCTAGCTTATGAGTGTGAAGGGGACAGTTAATGTTTTGCTTTTGTTAATGTTTATATATATAGCGTTGTCTTATTTTATTATTGTTTTAATATTAAATTATTATTGTCTAATTATAATGTAAGTCGATAAAAAATGCTATGAAATAGCTTTACCGCGGCAGTCCTCGAGTGCCACACATGTTTTTTTTTATCATCATCATCATATCAACCCATCTCATGTCACTGTCCACTGCTGAACATAAGCCTTGTCAACTGATGTTAATATGATGATGGCCAAATATTCTGTTTTCTTAATTTTTTTATTGCTTAGATGGATGGATGAGCTCACGGCCCAACTGGTGTTATATAGTTACCGAAGCCCATAGACATTTTCAATGTTAATGCGCCACCTACCTTGAGATATAACTTCTAAGATCTCAGTATAGTTACAACGGCTGTCCCTTCCTTCAAATCGAAACGCATTACTGCTTCACGGCAGAAATAGGCAGGGCGGTGGTACCTACGCTTGCAAACTCACAAGAGGTCCTACCACCAGAAATAATCACGATAACCAAGCTAAAAAGTGCTTTTTCATTTAAGTTCAGCTTTCCATTACAGCATATTTTTTGTGGTTTTAAACTATATTTACC